CTTTTTGCTCAGGTAATAAATAGCGTGCTCTTTTCGGCCAGACTCGTCATGCTGCCCCAGCACACACCCCATTGAGTTGTCAAGCACTGTCAAGTATAGTATTAGAGGTCTCCCTTCCACTGGTGGCATGAGGATGGGTGGTTCTTGGAGATACTCTTTTATCTTTTCAAAAGCGGCCTGACATTCATCGTTCCAACGTACTACTTGATCTTTCTTCAGCAGTTTGAAGATTGGTTTGCAGGTAGCAGTTAGATGTGAGATGAATCGGGCAATGTAGTTCAGTCGTCCTAGAAAGCCTCTGACTTCTTTCTCTGTCTTGGGAGTCGGCATCTCTTGTAAGGCTTTCACCTTGGCAGGGTCCACTTGAATACCTTTGTCGCTTACAATGAAACCTAGCAATTTTCCAGATCTCGTCCCAAAGGTGCATTTGTTTGGGTTCAACCTCAACTTGTACAACTTCAGACGGTCAAACAGCTTCCGTAGATGGTCAAGGTGTTCCTCCTCAGTTTGAGACCTTGCAATCATATCGTCGACGTACACTTTTATCTCGTGATGGATCATATCATGAAATAAAGCAACCATGGCACGTTGGTAGGTTGCCCCAGCATTTTTCAACCCAAATGGCATGACCTTGTAGCAAAAGGTGCCCCACTGAGTAACGAAAGTGGTCTTCTCCATGTCTTCAGGAGCTATCTTGATCTGATTATAACCGGAGAAGCCGTCCATGAAGGAGAAAACTTTATGCTGAGCAGTATTATCAACCAAAACGTCGATATGAGGTAGAGGGAAATCATCCTTAGGGCTGGCCCTGTTCAAATCCCTGTAATCAACACACATTCGGACTTTACCATCTTTCTTTGGTACTGGAACCACGTTGGCAACCCACTGAGGGTAAGAAGTCACTGCTAGAAACCCGACATCAAATTGCTTCATAACCTCAGCTTTGATTTTCTCGGACATCTATGGACGCATGCGGCGGACCTTCTGTTTTACCGGAGGGCTGTCTTCCTTGGTAGGCAGGTGATGAACCACAATGTCAGCATCCAAACCAGGCATGTCTTCGTAAGACCAAGCAAAGATTTCCATGTAGTCATGTAGCATCTGAATCAACCGTTGTTTCACACTGAGCTCTAGATTGGCACCAATCTTGACTTCCTTTCTATCTGTCTCAGTACCCACATTTACCGTTTCCACTGGCTCTTCATGCGGCTGAATGGCCCTCTCTTCCTGGAGTAGCAGTCTTGCAAGTTCACCAGGCACTTCGCAATCATCTTCACCCTCGTCTTCGGCTAAGTTGATCGGATTTTCGAAGTCATAACTGGCAGTAGCAGAGTCGTTACCAGTGAGATCCAGAGTGGATTGGAACCTGTATAAGTGAGTGTGTGTAAATATAGCTGTTTTGCAATATATGATAAAGAAAGAAATGGAGCACAAGATTTGAAATGCAACAAACGTCCAATGTTTTGATTAATGATATATGAAAATGTCATACAAAAGCCCTCACAAATGGAGCCACGGTGCCCCGGGTAGGACACCGAGCCATAAAAGTTTCAACATATTGTTTGTTACAAATTGAAGACAAAAGAGTTCATTACTGAGTGACAAAAGTAATAGGTGTAAAGTCTTTGGCAGTCCAGTTGCTTGGTCCATTGTCGGTTGTTGGGTAGATCCAGCTGTCAAATTCCGCTTCCTCCACGTGGTCCTCAATAGAATTCACTCCTGGGTTGGTGATGAACACCAGAGGTTTTCCGATCCTTGTTTTGCGAACAGCCCTCTGAGCCTCTGCAGTGAAGCCCAGTCCAAACTTGTCAGTCTTTAGAGTAAAATTAGGAAGTCGGCCCCAGTTTGCGCACTCACCTTTCTCAATCACAGCCCGGGCATCCTTCAAGGAAGCCATCTTCAAAGGAGGGTCTTCAATCACAGTTTCAGCCAACGCCAACGTCTGAGACACCTCTTCAAAGTGTTGAAAGGGGGTTTCAATGAATTCCACATCCATTTCTATGTATCGGAACGAGTTCAAGTGGCTGACCATATACTCTTCTTCCCTTTGAACTGTAACAATCTTTCCTCTGACTGGGTACTTAAGCTTTTGATGTAGTGTGGAGGTCACCGCTCCAGCCTTATGGATCCATGGACGACCCAATAAACAGGAATAGGATGGATGGATATCCATCACATAGAAAGTAGAATCAAAAACTTGGGAACCAACCCTGATTGGAATGTCAACCTCGCCATGTACCATCCTCTTCGAACCGTCAAAGGCTCGGACAACAATGTTACTTGGCTTGAGTTCCAGACCCTCACAATCCAATATGTCTAGGGCCTTCTTGGGAAGTACATTCAAAGAAGAACCGGTGTCCACCAACACATGGGCCAGAGTAGTGCCCCTGCATTCAATAGAGACATGCAGGGCATCATTATGGTTCTTTCCTTTTGCAGTCAGATCAGCGTCAGAAAAGCCCAACCCGTTATCAGCAGTCAAGTTAGCCACACAATCAATAAATTGATCAGCAGACATTTCTTGTGGCACATGAGCTGTTCTCATAAAGGAGATCAGGGCTTTGGCATGGGCCTCTGAACACAATAACAGTGATAGCATAGAAATTTTTGATGGGGTGTGCCCCAACTGCTCAACAACATTGAAATCACTTTTCTTGATAATCTTGAGGATCTCCTCCATCTCTTGCTGGGAGGCTTCAACAGCGGTCGTCTTCGGTGCCTCCGTCCGGGCAGGAAAATCAGTAGCAACTCCCTTGCCCCGAGCATTAGAGGACTCGGCGGCAGGGGTAGACACAGGAACTTGATTTGGAAGGGAAACATGCACACTTGCGGGTGTGATGATAAGGGGTTTCTGAATAACTGGTGGTGAAATATCTGGTGAAAACAACCTACCACTGCGAGTAATCTTGGCAGGTCTGGTGATGCTACTGACACCGATACTTGTATCAAATTCTTGCTTCACTCCAATCACATAAACATCTGCCCCATAGTGCCACGGGGCAGCTTTGTCGGATGTATAAGGGAGAGGCCCCGGAACTGTAATGATGATGGGAGCAACTTTCTGAGTGGACATAATTTTGACAGGCTTCTTTGAAGGAGCCTTGGGAGGTTTGTTGAAAATAGTGATAATAGAAACTTCTTCGGTAGGGACAGCAGGAACAACAATCTTCTCAAACAAGATTTCCTTGCTATTCATCAGGCTTTGGATACCTGATTTCAGCAAAGGACAGCCAAAAGGCGAAACAGCACACAGAAGGCAATCTTCATCACATCCCGGAAATAAACCGGCTAGCAACAGATTCCTTTTAATAGTTGATAAAGGCGTAACAATCTCTTCCACGGAGGCTACATATTGGTCTTCTTCCACAGCACTCACTCCATGCTGGGGCATGGGAGCAGTCACAACATTGGGTCTTTCAGGCGCCTCAAACTATATTTCCTTAGCATCTATAAGGTCTTGAACCTTATTCCTTAGAGCCCAGAAATCGTCCGTAGTATGCCCGGGGCTATCAGAGTGATAAGCGCAACGGGCGTTGGGGTTGTATTTTGGAGAAGCTGTATTCACCACCTTCGGAGCTTCCTTGACAGTTACCAGATTGGTTGACAGTAGTTGCAGCAAAATCTGAGACAGGGTCATGTTAAGCCGAGTGTACTGCCTTTTGGGCCTCTCACCCCTTTGTTGATTATACTGCTGAGGAGCAGCAACAGGCTTTGAAATGACCAATGCATTGACAGCTTGGCGGTGTTCCGGCTTAACTTGTCTTCTGGGACCATAAACGGCACTAGCTTCCTTTTTGAAAGGCTTCTTCTCAATATTTGTGGAGGCACCTTTCTGTATCTTCCCTGACTTGATACCAGCTTCTATCCTTTCACCAGTCAAGATCAAATCTGTAAACCCAGCGAAAGAATTACCAATCAGATGATTGAAGAATGGACCAGACGGGGTCCCTAGAAACATGTCAACAAGTTCACGATCAGTCAAAGGAGGCTGCACCCTGCCAACCAAGTCTCTCCACTTTTACGCATACTCCTTGAATCCTTCGCCCGTTCCCAGTGACATACCCTGAAGTTGGGTACGCGTGGGAGCGGGGTCAGAATTGTACTGATACTGTCTATAAAACGCAGTAGCCAAGTCCTCCCAGTTTCGGATACTGGCTCCATCTAACTGATAGAACCATTCGAGTTGAGACCCCGAAAGGCTATCCTGAAAGAAATGGATCCATAGGTTCTTGTCTGCTGTATAAGGTTGGATCTTCCTTACATATGATCTGAGATGCAGCTTAGGACAGGAAGCCCCGTCGTACTTCGCAAAGGCAGGCGCCTTGAACTTGTGTGGGATCACCACTCCAGAAGATAAACCTAAATCTCCGAAATCCAATCCCGACACATTTTGAATCTCCATGGCACTTAAACGGTCCTCTAGTTGTTTGTATCTGTCTGCAGCAGGAGGGTATTGTTCGTCATTGTAATCCGTCTCATTGTCGGAGACTGCAGGACTAGGAGCCCTTCCCCCTTGGGGACTGTCTTTCTCTGCAGAGGAAGTAGCCTGATCAGCCTCATTATGGAGTGTATTCCCAAACCTGCGTCTAGTGTTGAACAACGCAATCCTCTTCTTCTTCTTCTTCTTCAAGAGTAGAGTCTTCAACTCTTGTTGACCTTGGGCTAAGCTCATGACCAGCTCTTGAAACTGGGCGTTCTGGGCCTGGAGGGCCTTGATAGCTTGTTCGTTGGATGATTCAGGATTCATGATGACTGTTCAAATAAACAGCGAAGAAGTTTAAGCAACCTGTGGAAAAAGGGTACCTGTTATGCATATGATGCAATAAGATGCATATGATTTATGTTTTCAAAGACAAACGAGATTCAACTTTGTAGACAAAAGGGGAACACACTTCATTAGATTCAAACTTTAAATTGTTTAACAACTTGCCCTTAGGCATTACAGGAATGAAAATACTGAAAAGGAAATAAAAGCTGTAAAAGGAAACATTCAAAGCCCATCAGTGCTCCCATGGCCTCCTCTTCTCAGTATGGATATAGTCATTCAGGATCCGCTCTTCCTCCAATTGCTTAGTCAGCTTCTGGATCTTCCGTTCCTGTTCGTTGAACTTTTCCCGATAAAAATCCCGTTCTTCCTTTAGCTGCGCCCAAGATCTTTTTAGCGTATCAACATCAGTGGGTATCTGAGGAGGGAGGACAGTTGGAGGAACCCCGTCCTCATCAGGAGATTCAAGAATGATAGGTCTGACAGCTTCGTATGGCATACCTAACTTCTGAGCACGGATGCGGACCCATCTGCAATAGGGTTCCATTGGTAGAGAAGTCTTTGGTCCCAACTCATGTGGGTCAGCTTTGTGAATTCTGTCCCAAGCCTTAATGAATCCATGGCGTAGTTTGTCACTGTCTACCTGAAATTCAAAATGGAAGTGAGGAACCAACATCTCATGAGGCCCTACTCTTCTGGCTCTTCCAAACTGACGGAGAGCTAAACATGGATTATAAGAGATTCCTCCCTGGGTACCGATCAATGGAACATTAGGATATTCTCCGCAACGATCAATGACGGCTACCTCATCCAAACCTCTGAGTGTCCAAATGATGTCATTATCAGTGAGAGACATTAATCTATGAGCCCAACCCTTTCCTTCTTCATTCTTCAGCACAAACTTAGGAAGGTGCAAAATAAACCACCTTACTAGCAAAGGAGCACAACACCATGGAGTTCCCCGTCTTCAGGCAGTACGAGCATAGAGTTGTTGCAGGATGTCACCCAAAAGAGTGGGTACAGTATTCCGAGACATGAAGATCCTTATGGCATAGATACTGATAAAGGTGTCAGGATTTGGAAACAATACAAGACCATAGATTAAAAGAGCCAGAATGTCTTCGTATGCCTTGAAGTCTAAGTCATTCCAGAAATTATTAGCTTTGCCAACCAGAAATTTAACCAAAAAGCCCTTAACTCCACTCCTAGTTTCCCAGTTAGCCAATACCTCTTCTTTGGTCAAGGGAAGGACCGCGGCAACCTCTTCAGGCCTAAGAGTCTTCTCCCAACCAGTGAATGGAGTTTTCTCCAAAACAGAGATACCAAGTAAATCAGAGAATTCTTCCAGGGTAGGGACCAGCTGGAAGTCTTGAAAGGTAAAGCAATGATACAGGGGATCATAAAACTGGGTCAGGACACTTATCAGTTGTTGGTCCCACTTTGAAGTGATCAAGCCAAGGAGAGAACCATGCCTCTTGATGAAGGAAATGGTGTTTGGAATCCTATCAACCAAATCCTTGAGCAAAGTGGGTGGTTGAACAAAGTTGAGCCGGATAGTATTCCTACGCACGGGCATCATGATGTCCTACAAAACAGAGCAAAGATGAAACTTTTTTGTATTTGAAATGGGTCAGTCCTTATACAGGATGCATGCAATGGTATGATGGTATGATGCTATGATGAAGCACACCACAAGTATTCACAAAGGCAAGCATGATAAGGCACACAAGTCACACAAGACAACCCTTAGGGTTTAGGCCAGCATGAAGTTTAGGTATTACCCTCTTTTAGTTTCGTTGGTTAAAACATGTCCTATCAAAAGTAACTGGGTTCTAGAGGATCTCAAGTCATTGACTACCCTCAATCGGTCATAACTCCAGCATCGCAATCTTTTCTTGCGGCCAGAACCATCGCGAGAGTTTAGCCTCAACGAGTGTAGCATGCTGCTACTGTTCTACGGCCAAGTTTGGTCAATTTAGGGTTCTAAGGTCGGTTGGTGTTTAATGACTTCTTAGAAGACCCATATTCTCCTCGTTGCAATACAAGGGATATAGGTACAGACCAAGGTGCCACACCAACGTAGCCACTGCTTCACCCATGTCGGTCTACGCCAGACAGGTCCCTCACAGATTATGCTACCTAAAAGGGTATTCCCCAGATCCGGGTTAGGATCTATGAAACTCCGATGCAAAGCCCACAAATATAAAAGCAAACAAAGCAAACAATTGAAAACAAAGGTGATCTAAGCCCTAAGGTTACTCCACTTTTAAATAGTCCCCAGCAGAGTCGCCAGTTCTGTGATACGGTGGGAGAACTGACTTGAGGTTTTGCGTTTGTTTTCGCAAATGTTTCAGTTGAGCAAGAGTCGCCACCGACTTTTTATTTTATCCTAAGGAAAGGTTAAAAAGCACAGCAAAAAACCTTTGAGATGTTTTCTTGGGTTCGGGGAGTAGATTATATAAAGGGAAGGTATTAGCACCCTTTCTATCCATGGTTATCCATGGGCTCTTAGTTACTTGCTTAGATCAACTTGCCTTGATTTTCAATTGTTTGAAATGGTGCTTTTAATTGTTTGAAATGGTGCTTTGTGTGTGTGTTTGAAAATGTTTTGAAAAGAGGCCATTGTTGTGGCAACCTTTGTAATGATCCATGTTGGGATGTATACAAAGGTGTATGTCTTTTGAAAAGGTTTTCAATGTTTTGGGAAATTGTTTTTGAAAATGTGTTGTGGAGTGTGGTTTTTGAAAAATAGGCAAGGTTTTTTTGTTTTGCAAGTTGGTAAGTAACCAAGAGCTATCTACCCTAAATTTCTCAAAGATCTTTGCTAGGTTTTAACCCTTTTAACAATTTTGTTCCACCATTGTATTTGGTGGACAATCTTGTGTTAGGATGTGAACGGGACAGGCGCGGGTCATCGTTTAGACCATGATTGCAATGGTGCCAAGTGTCTTTGGGCAATTTTTCCTTTAAGGGACTTGATCATTTTTTAGGCAACTTTCGAAAGCGTCATCGAGGGACTATGATCATTTTTTGTTTTTGCCAAAGATACCTAACATGCAATATGGCCCATTTTTGAAGGCAATAAGTGGAGTACCCTAGGGGTGCAAGTGTGATTAGTGTTGTCCATTTTCATGCTTGTTTATCTTGAATTTAGGTCAAACTGATTGTTGTTTTTGATTTGCATACAAAACCCTAATTCTAACATGGCATAATTAGAAAGCTTTTAAATGCGAAAAATAAAAGTTCCTAAGTTATTACACAATGATCATGGGAATGGGGGTACAAATGTTCAAATGGGGATGAGACTTCATAGGAGGATAGTGTCCAATATTTACAACCAAATTGAATTGCGCAAATATAAATGCAAAGATATATAAGAAGAAAGCAATATATATGTGAAGGTATTTTTGTGTAAGTGTATATTTTATTCACAAATAAAATAAAAATAATTAAAAGAAAGTTAATTTTTTGAATATTTTCAAGTTTAGGGCAAAAACCCTAATTTTACTAAATAAATGGTATTAATTATTTATTTAAGTATTATATATAATATTTATTAATTATGTGTAAAAAATAAATAAAAAGAAAGTATATTGTCAAAAAGTGATTTTCAAGTTAAATATTAATAAAAATAAAAATGTATTATTTTTTTATGTTTTTAACCTAAATATACTAAATAATATATAAGTATTTACATTATTTATTAAATATATATTACATGTTCAAAACTAAATATTTAATATTATTAAAAAAAAGTATATTTTTTATAAAATGTTTTCAAAAGATAAAATAAAATAAAATCAGAAAATAAAAGTGTTTTTATATTATTTCTTTGTATTTTAAATAAAAGTATGTTTAGATTTATTTATGTACAAAACTAAATGAAACAAAATAAATGTCAAAAAAATGCAAAAAAAAATGTGGGAAAAATATTTTAATATTTTTTTATGTTTAGACAAAAATATAAAAACCAAAATCAAAAGGAAAAAAATCAAAAATAACAAAGATATCTCAAAATGGGCCAAGGGGGTGCATGTGTAAAACAGTGGTGTGAAAAGGAAAGCATTTCAGGCCCAACCCATGAAAGGTTGTCTTCAACCTTCAGACAACAACATTTGAAAAAACGCGCCTCTTCTTCCCTGCTTGCTATCTCTTGATTCTTTGATTTTCAGCACAAACTCATAACATAAAAAATGTTAAGCATTGAACCACGAATCCAGACATATAAGAAACTTAACTTAACTCTCAGAAATGAGAGAGAATTTCTCCATCCCTAATTCTTGACCTAAGTTTTTATCAATGTTCAGGTTCAAAATACTCTCAGCATATGCAATATAAATGGAAAGTAAGGATAGGTATAGCTTCAGGGACATGAATATGACATTTTTCATTCACAAACTTAGAGCTAACTCTTCCTATATTGAGAGATAGGAGTCCATGAACTTACCTGTTCAGCTTGGATCGTGTCTGACAATGGAGGCACCTTCAAGGCAAAATGAGGATTGGTACAACTTGCTTGAAGTTCAAGGATGCTATTCCAACCTTTAACTTGCTTTGAAACCAACTGGATCAAGCTATGGCAATCAACCTGCAAAACAGAAAAAACGAAAATGGTGATGTTGGTTAGAGGTGTTACAGGTCGTGTCCAATGCTTGGGATAGCTTGCATATATGGTATGGAGTGTGTATGAACTGGTTTTAGCAAGAATGCACGAATGGATTGGCTTATGGAAGTCCAACTGTAGAGGTCACTCTGTTTTCTGCAGTAGGATGGTGTTTTGAGGTTTGATGATGTTTTGAAAGTGTTTTGGTCGTGCCTTAGCTCAGTTATGTTGTTTAGAATGTGTACAACAACTTTGCTTAAGCTAGTTCTTGCAGCAATGAGAGTTGTTTCAAAAATGCAAGGTTTCTTCTATGTGAAGCAAGGAAATGCCCACTTGGTTTCTAGGCTTGTACAGGCCCCTCAAATGTTCTGCATCTTTTAGTCTTGATCAGTGTGTTATGTCCATGAATCTTGTGTCCAAAGATATGCATTGTACCATTTGATTTGCAAACTTGACATAAAGTTCTACTTTTCAAAAATGGATAAATCACTTTTTCCAATTAAGGCTTAAATCTTTGTACAATGACCAAACTCAAAGAATAACATCTTGGCACAATGGATTAGCATTAAATTATTGAGTAAGAAAAGGATTAGAGGCCTGTAACTAGCTTGCTCATGGTGATTTGAAAAATTGCAAAGTGTATGAACATGTACATGGCCATGAATCAAAGTGACTTTTGCTCAAATTTCCAAATTCGATTCTCCCTAACCACAAGGTTGTTTGATGAGTTCTTGAACATTTTGGAAAGCTTGGAATGTGTACTACAATCCATCTTTGTAATGCAAATTTAAATTCCAAGTGGAAGCATGTGAAAAGTGGCCATGAAGTTAGGCAAAAATCCTGCCTATAATAGGTCAAAATTTTTCTAAGTTAAGAATGTTTTGCACCCTTGTTCCAAAAATAATAACTTGAGCTACAAGCTTCTTTTGAGGAAACTTTGTGAATAAAAGTTGTAGATTTTGCGATGGACTACAACTTTCATGTTTTGACTTTTGTTTGAATCCAAATGCATCTTGGTGAAAAAATGGGACAAAGTTAGGAAAAAATTAGGGATTTTCATAACTTAGAAAAATTCTAAGTTATGAAAATTCTTCATTTTAAACCCTAATTTGCAAATCTTGATTTCTTGATGAACAAGTTTCATATTTTGACTTGTTTTGATGAAAAATGAATCTTGACACTTGATTTTGACCAAAAAGTCAAAGTTTGACTTTTCAGTATACAGTCAAAAATTTATCAATTGACTAGAAAAT